GGTGGTCTTACTATGTTGCCCAGGCTGGTCTTTAACTCCTGACCTCAAGTGATCCTCCCACCTCAGCCTCCCAAGCACTGGGCTTAGAGGCGTGCCTGACCTCAGGGAGAAGTACTGGCTGGATGATCTCTGAAGGTTTTTGACTCCAATGCACTATTTTAAACAATTCTGGTTGTCTACGTGACACCACTGATGTTGTTCACATCCGTAGATCATCTAGCACATATCCAGGGGAGAGAGATGTGTGCGTCTTTATGTGTAACAGAAAAAGAGGCTGTTTCCACCAGGCATGCATGAGAATCGCTTTCATTGCATCATGATGGAGCAGGTATTCTAAACCACTTGAGCCAGAGCAAAACTAGAACAGTCAAATCTATCTTCAGGCTCAATCTTGACGCTTCACACATCATCTGATAGGGCTTGGACCCAGTAATTGTTAAGGTCCTTTCCAGATGCAACATTCTGAGTCTTCAAGGTAAAAAAGGCTTAGGTCATTCAGGAAATGCTCTGCTGCCAGAGAAAACCTAAAGCACCACCTGACCCAGTTATAACTGCCGCGCAACGCGAGGTCTCAGGTGGACACACCACCGGCTTCTTCCAGGCCCCTGCCCATGGCCCACAGAAGGGCAGGATGCCAGGCTGGAGCAGCTCCAGCTAAGTGACAATTCCCTATCAGCCAGGCTGAGAAGCCCGGGGCAGGAGCAGGTCAGGTGTGGCTGGCCTATGGCCCAGTCCAGGCACCCCACAGCCCTGCTAAGAGCTCTGGCTTCTTTCTGGCTGGTCAAGGCCAAAGGTCACTGCAGGGATCTCGCACGGAAGTGCAAAGCGACAGGGAATGGCAGGAAAAAACCCTGGACTCTGGAGTCTGGCAGGCCTAAGCTGGGCACTACGTCTCCTGCTCATCGACTGAACTACTATGCAGAAGTCGCTCCCCCTTCCCAGAGCTTCAGCTTCCTCCACTGGGGATGTCACCCCCCGCTCCACAGCGCCTGGTACAGTGAGTACCTGTCTCTAGTCCCACTTCGTGAACAAAATCAAGGTGAACGTATGTCTCCCCAACCTCCCTGTCTGCAGCTACAAACACCTTCATCTCCTCTCCTCCTGCCCTTGCCCTCTCTTCAAACCGCCTCCGCCCCCTGAATTACTTCGTTTGGTGGCACAGCCCCACCTGTCCCCCAAGCCACCTCTCTCTCCCCCTTGGACCTAATCAAGCACCATGTCCTGCCAGTTTAACACGTGAGATCTCTCCTGTCCTGCCACCTCTCTGCCACCATCCCCATACAGATTCCTGTCACCTCCTCCTAGACAGACTCCTAAGCGGGATTTCCAACTCAGTGTCTCTAAAGCCAGCTTCATCTTCTTCCGCCTAGTCACTCCCCTTCCTTGAGTCTGCCTGTTTCTGTTCATGATGACATGAGTCTGGCCATCGAGTTGTTCAGGATTGTTCCCTCTCCTGTGATTCCTTCCCCTGACATAAATGTCTCGCTGTAAAAAACAAAAAAAATTTTTTTTTTTAGAGATGGGATCTCACTGTGTTGCCCAGGATGGTCTTGAACTCCTGGCCTTGAGCAATCCTCCACCTTGGCCTCCCAAGTTGTTGGGGTTACAGGTGTGAGCCACTACACCCAGCCACAGATGTCTGTCTGACAGGTACCTGGATCCAGTCACTTCTGAGTGGTCTGCCAATCTTTCCTTTCCCTGGCACAGACAAAATAGCAACCACGTGCCAGGCACAGAGCATAGCATCAGGCATACAAAACAAAGAAGCAGTCCCAGTCCTGACCTTCAAGCGGTTCAGCCATTACGGGGCCACCTCAGTACTGCAATAGCCCATGACTAGTTTCTCCTTGTCTCCCCCCAGCCTCTCCACCAGGGTGAGCAGTGAACTAAAACTGCTCAGTAGCCACCCTCTGGCCTAGCCGCAGAGTAACAGCCAAGCCCTCTGCCCACCGGCCACCTGAGCACTCCTGCCACGACTACCCACTTCATCCTTCTTGCCCCTAAAGAACCCACGTGGTTCTTTGAACACACGATGTTCTCTGAACACTGCGATGTTCCACCTCCGGGCTTGGCTGTATCCTACAAAGCCCCACCCCATTGTCTTTGCCTGGTTAACTCCTCCCCACCGCTACTGCCTCCTCTCCTCCTGGAAGCATTCTGGGCTCTCCTGTGCCCATCCAGGTCCCTCTTCTGGGCTTCCACATCAGCCAGGGCATCACTCTCACCACACTCATCAGAGTGGGCTGAGATGACCTACACACATCATGCACACTCTCCAGAGCCTAGCGGGGGCCAGGACACAACAGCGGAGCAGGGAGAGTGGTTCAGAGGCGGGAGCGAACCTCACTTCCCTCCCACAGGCTGGCTTCCGTCGGTCTTCCCCTGACCCACAGCTCGGGTCGGCCGCACCGCCTCGCTACTGCCACCTAGGGGCGCCAGTCGGGCGCTGCGCTTCTCTTGCCATTCAGCCTTGAATTCGATTCAATAAACTGAACGGGATGGGAACACTAAAGAGGGAACAGTTGATTCCGGTTGGGGGGGGAGGAAGAGTGGCAGTCAGACGAGGCTTCAAACGGCCAGTGAGCTCTGGGCTGGGCCATGGAGCCTGAGCAACGGATCTCCAGGTGGAAGAGATCTGTCTCCAGGTGGAGGCTGCAACAGGCAGGGAGGGTTAGAGTTTGGCGTCTACATGCAGGGGCAGGGAGCGTTAGGGTGTGAAGGAACTGGTACTCCAAACTAAGGGCTTCTAACTTTATCTTTTAAGCCACGAAAGAGGTCAAGAAAACGTCTTTTTTCTGCCCAAAGGTTTTAAATCAGAAGGGACACAATTAGATGTGCATTTACAGAACAGAACTCCTGCTGGAGTGTGGAAAGAGGGAAGAGATGGGAAGCCGCGAGTGAGAGAGGCAATACATTTTCATAATTTCTTGTTTTTTTCATAAACAGTTTTTTCATAATTCTCATTTCTTTTACTTGAAATAGCATCATGGGCTGCGTGCGGTGTCTCACGCCTGTAATCCCTGTAATCCCAGGACTTTAGGACGCCAAGGCAGATGGATCTCCTGAGATCAGGAGTTCGAGACCAGCCTGCTCAATAAGGCGAAATCCTGTCTCTATTAAAAATACAAAAAATTAGCCGTGCGTTGTGGTGGCCGCCTGTAATCCCAGCTACTCGGGAGGCTGAGGCAGGAGAATCGCTTGAACTCGGGAGGCAAAGGTTGCAGTGAGCCGAGATGGCACAACTGCACTCCAGCCTGGGCTACAAGGGTGAAACTGTGTCTCAAAAAAGAAAAAAAAAAAAAAAGCACCATGATCTCAGACTCAACACATCCAAACTGAAACTCTGTCTGCTCAAAACCAATGCGTCAACATAAACAGTATTATTTCCTTCCACATTTGGAGACGTTCACGTATCTCAACCTCTTTGTGGGCCTTGAAGTCGCAGAATTTGATAACAGATCCCAGCACAAAACTTTGCACACAGAAAATACTTGATGACAACTGAGTGGAGTGTCCTGGAGCCTTGCGATTATGGGAGCAATACAACCGGGTGGTTAAGAGTAAGGGTTTTGAATCAGAGGGCCCGAGTTCAAACCCTGGCGCAGCCACTTTAGTGCATGAGACTGGTCATATGAAGTGACCCATCTAAGCCTCAGTTTCTTCATCTCTAAAATGGAAATTAATGGAAATTATAACATCACCCGCCTCAAGGACTGGAGACAAACGTCCACAAAGTGTCGAGCTCATAGTAAATCCTCAATAAATACTGGTGGTTATGTATAACATCATTTATTCAGTGCCTACCAGGTACAGACCACGCACAACGCAACAGGCTTCTCAGCCCCTTCAATCTGCATCACACTTTTGTCCTTCCCATTTTACAGATAAGAAAACTAAGGCTCAACAGAGTCAAGCTTGTTCGAGGTCTTGGGAGCATCTCCCAGGGCATTAGAACTTTTGGAGGAAGGGATTTAGTTCAGTAATGGTTCTCACCTGCGTGTATGAGCGAGTGGAAGAGACCCCTCCCCCGCAACCCGGGACATCTGGCAATGTTTGGAGATCTTGTTGATCCTCACGACTTGGGGGATGGGGATACTGCTGGCATCTAGTGGGTAGAGGCCAGGAATACGGCTCAACTTCCTACATTGCACAGGGAAGGCCCCCACCCACAACCAAAAACTATCTGACTCCGAACATCAGTAGTGCCAACCTTGAGAAACCCTTCTCTAGCCAGGTCACTCTCCTGATCTTCCCACTTCTGGCCATCCGGATCTTAGATGAACACTTTCCAGCAAGGGGGCTCAGTCCCACCACGGGAAGCCCGTGCAGAAGTTGTGCAGAAGTTCTTCCCCACCTGCCCTGCACACAGTAGGGACCAAAACCCATTTTAACAAGCCCGGCAGCCCAGAGCACCGGAAAAGGAAGGAAGGGCATCCATCCCCCATTGTTCAACTGTGTGCAGTTTGTGTTTCCAACAGACACACACACATATTTTACAAATCCTAACGTCCCACGCCCCACAAACAGCTTTGTTAGAGATGGCGCTCAAAAAAAGATGCAGTTTAGATTTTTTTTTTCCCCCCCAGGACTCCCGTGTATCTACTGAAGGGTTTGCACACTTCTCAAAGGACCTCGCACCGGCCGCGGTGCTCTGACAACGACCACAAAAGAATCTGTGGGATTTCCCGGGGGAGCGAGCCCGTGGGCCGTGACCTCTGCGCGCTCAAAGCGTTCCCCGCGCTCCCCCCGCCGCTGGC